GGATGAAGTTTAAACATTCATCCATGAAAAAATGATCCAATCTTAAGGGTTCATCACAGTTAATTTTAGTTATAATAATGTGCTATTCTTTATAAAAGATAATGCTATTGATTTACCATCAATAAAGCAGATGTACATTCTCTTAGATGAAATCATGATAGGTTCCTTGACTCATCTTTCCTTGTGACTGAGGGATTCATCTGTAAGACCTCAGACTAGAGTTAAGAGTGACATCTATAGTCACAGAAGAGGACAAAGCAAACTAACTTGTTTGATAAAGTGCTCCAATTCCAGCCTCACTCTCTCAGGCAAATAACTGTTGAACATCTATTCTGTCTTGACACTCCAAAGATGCTAAATGGTCATCATTATGCCAAACTTCAAAAAACAAAAATTTCCACAGGTAAATCCTATTTATTTTTACTCATATAATCAGCCTTCAAAGGAATGTAGCTGAAGTAGTATACTATAATTTTATTTTTCTAGATTTTGAATAATTTCTGAAACCCAGTATCTTTCATATCTGAAGCAGATAAAAAATAGTTTAAATGAAAACTTTTCACCAACCATCACATTTATTATAGTAATTTTAAGATAAGAAAAAGATATAGATTGATAAGTACAATGTCATAAAGTCTTCTGCTAACATTCTCTATGTTCTTCATTTGACCACATTAGTAACTAACTCCACCTGAGTCCATGGCAAGATAATTAAAAAACCCTTCCAATGGAGGTCTTTGTCACCATCCTAATCCACTGTGGCACCAGATATTTAGAATGGAAAATTCTAAGTAATTAACATTTATTAAGTGTTTACCAAGTTCTTTAAAAAATTATCTCATTTAATCCTAATTATTATTATCCCAATTATACAGAATAGAAACAAAGAACCCAAAGGATGAAGTAACTGGTAAAAGTCACTTTGTAAGTGGCTTAGTCAGGTCAGGATTCAACTCAGATATGCCTAACCCCAAAATCCCTGCTCTTGTTTATGCAATCCTCTCTTAGTTTACTTGGTTCTGTTAAATCTAGCATTAAAGTAGAATTCAAACCCTCAGTTCTCTCTCCTTCCCTGGAGTTTTAGAAACTTTTTCACTTATTTGATACTAAAATGAGAACAACTTTTCCCATCCCCTAAACCAGTTTCCTTTCTTCCTTCTTTACCCTCCTCTTTCTTTTCATATACAAAGAAAGAACCTTGACTTTGTTCTTGCATTCAAACTTTCCTTTCTCTCTTATAACTATTTCTATTAATGCTACAGGCACATGATTTCTCCAAGTCGAGTAAATACCAACTTCTCTGCCCCTACCCCTTTACTGTAAGTTGCTGATTACTGAAAGGCCTTGGCTATTGATCTCAAAGCTAGAGGACAGCTGTACATGCACAATGAGTTAGACATAGAAGCTAGTTTCTTCTAAGCCTCAGGCAGCAAATGCTGATAAAGTGTCTGCTGAAACAGTGTATCTGGAAATAATATTTGAAAAGAATGTAGCTGGACACAGTATTAAAGAAAACTTGAATTTAATTGCTTCTTTTCTTTATTTATATATAGGAAGTGATGAGAGTCATGATAAAATGCAAAAACATGACATAATTTCATATGAATTTGCTTATATAGCTTTGAAAACAGTAAAAACTAAGTTTAATGAAGTTAAACTGATTCTATGACTCATTAGCATCACTTCTGATGGAACAATGACAACATGTAGAACATTTAGCTTTATTATATATTCTGAAGTATGAAGCCTTTTTTTCTCAAAATAGCTAAACATTTCTTAAAAATGTTTCACCAATGGTATGCACTTACTAATCTTCCTAGGGTCCAGGTTCTAAAAATCAGATAGAGCTGGGTACAGTGACTCATGCTTATAATCCTAGCAATTTGGGAGGCTGAGGTGAGAGGATCACTTGAGCCCAGGAGTTTGAAGTTGCAGTGAGCTATGATAATACCATGGCACTCTAGCGAGGGCAACAGAGGAAAACCTTGTCTCCAAATAAATAAATAAAAATAAAATTCAGATAGTAGAGGGTGCTATATAACATATGAAACCCTGAAATATGTTGTAAAATGGTAGTATTTTGGTAATGAGAAAAAATAAGTTAAAAAATGTGACTGAAAGGAGAATTTTTCTATATTTAAATATGAATAATAAGTCACAGGCCTGAGCAAATACATTCCTTTTTCATAACAGGAACCACACACCAGTAAGTAGTATCTGTAGACATACATACATATATGTGTATAGACATCCTGTTTAATTTTTAAAATGCACTTGAATTTAAATACATATCAATACATATAACATTTACATTTTTAAAAGATAAGATTACAATCAATGCTTATCTCTAGTTCTTTGATATTACTCAAATAATTTAAACATTAGGAAAATAAAAGTGTAAGTGATAACCTGTGAGATCTAAGACTATAGCTCCGACACATCAGAAATAATTTATTCAACTCCATAACTCTAACCTTGAGTCAAGATAGTATACGAGAGATCTTAACTCTTTGCTATAAAAGAGAATTCACTAATTCCAATTTTCAAACAACACTTATTGGACAGGGAATTCTACTCTCTGTGGATTCCAAGTACTCACATGGTCTTCATCTGCACTATCTCATATGGTAGCCACTAGCCACATGTGGTTATTGAGCCCTTGAGACTAGATATATCCTGGATTTTAAAGACCTTCCCTAAAAAAGTAAAATATTTCATTTTTTCATGTTAACATATTGGAATTTTATTTTGGATATATTGGATTAAACAATATATATTACTAAAATAAATTTCACCTATTTCTTTTAATACCTTTCATACCACTCACGAGTTTTCTTGTGTTTCACGTGTTGGACCACTCATGAGTTTTCTCGAGTTTCAGGAGCCATCTGTTATGGACCTTAGATGTCAACACACTGTCTTGTCCATTAGGGAGAGTAGAGGTTTACCGCCAAATTTGAAAATGAAAACATCAAGAATGAAGAAAGGTGACATAATATTTTCCAGAAAAGGCGATATTTTTCTCCTAGCATGGAAAGACAAGCGTGTTGTCCGAATGATATCAATGATCCATGACACTTCTGTCTCGACAACAGGAAAAAAACCCAGAAAAACGGGAGAGAATATTGTAAAACCTGCCTGCATCAGGGAATACAATGCCCACATGAAAGGCGTTGATCGTGCGGATCAATTCCTTTCATGTTGTTCCATTCTAAGAAAAATGATGAAATGGACAAAAAAAGTAGTGCTGTACCTTATAAACTGTGGACTTTTCAATTCATTTAGAGTGTACAACATCCTCAATCCACAAGCAAACATGAAGTATAAACAGTTTCTGCTATCAGTGGTGACAGACTAGATAATGGATGGCAATAATGAAGGCTCTCTGGAACTAGAGACAACTCTGTCCAGCCCTTCCCCTGGGGGTGCAAGGAGAGCACCTCGTAAAGATCTACCCAAAAGGTTGTCAGGTGATATGAAGCAGCATGAACCTATATGTATTCCAGCGAGTGAAAAGAAAAATTTCCTACGAGAGCCTGCAGAGAGTTTGTGCTGCCCATGGAAAAAGGAGCGAATCAGATACTTAAGTAAATTTTGTTTGGTCCCTCTTCAAAATGTTTTACACAGTACTATACATTAAAAAAGTACTAGGAACTTTAATTGTTTAATTAGTTGTTTAATTGTTTTTGTAAATAAAAATGTTATAATTATTTAAAAACAACACCTAAAGTGCATTATGATCTGTAGTTATGATTTAAATAACGTGCAGTTTGCCCCAAAATGTGTGGTCTCTGGTGTATGTCTTAGAGATTTCTATATGGTACAAAATGTGTTAACATATTTTAATGTAGCTCCTATAAATTACATATGTGGCTTACATGACATTCCTATTGTACAGTACTGCCTGTCCATTCAATCTAGTACTGAGAATCAGCATTTCTCAAGCAAGTTCGAAACTTTTAAATGAGGAAACTATCCTTTACTTAGCCCATAAAATTTTTTTGTGATCTTGTCTTTCCAACTAGATTAGACACTGAGGTAATTAATAAGCAGCTGCTTACTGACCAAATTTCATCCATTCGTTCAAAACTACCATCTTAATTTTATCGGAAAAAGGATCTTTTTCTTTCATGATCCATGAAACATATTTGTTTAGAAATATTTGATGAGGAACTCAAGATTCCTTCAAAGGTCTTTTTTCAACTTTTTAAACTCCTATAGAAACAGATGTAATATAGAATTTATCCTTGAGGGTATTACTTTAAAAATCACTAATATTTATCTTATTCACCAAATCCAGTCTTATAATGGATATCCCCTCCTCATTCCCCATGGATTTAAGATAGCCCTGAATGATTTACTTAAGTTCAGAGTAATTTTTAGCTGTTTACATGCAGTGTGAAAGCATAGCCAGCCAAGATTCCTTACCTGTACTACAGAACACAGAAAATAATCTGAGTGCCTACCTTCTCTACTATCCCAAGGATGGCATATAATTAATTAGTACCACTCTAGATACACAAGAGAGAAGTTAATTCATTCTATGCAATGGATGCCTTATCTATAAATTCTCCAGTGGAGCTCAGTTAAGAAATGACTAGACCATTGTATTACCTAAATATTAATGATTAAGATTCACAAACAGAAAGTGTTTGTATTTATACAGTTGTGGTTTCTGAGCTGTAAAAAGCATGTTTCCAAGAAAACAAGCTCTCAAAAAAAGAACATTAGCATTCTGTCTGGCAGATTGTATAATTACACTCTGAAAAGACTTCTAAGAGTTATTCAGAAAAACATGGACAAGGAGGTCAGTCATGTCATGAACCTAGACACTGTACTAAACATTAACTCTCTTCATATTACTACTTAATAAAGTACATTCATGGATTCTAGTAAAGTACATTTATGAATTCTGTATTTTTCAATTTTTTAAATGATTACATAATTGCAGTAACAGTCACATATATAAGAATATTTGATAATTTACACTTATACATTACCTAAGTATATCAATCCAAATCCTCCAGAGCCAATCATTTTGCCCAGTACCCACTGTTTGCCTTCCATGTCATCCAGAACCTTGCCTTCTGGAAGTGGAACAGGAAGTTTGTATTTCTCATTTCTTCTTGGTGGCATCACTTCTGTTGGCAGGAAGGGTGAGATAAATGGGTAAAAATAAAAACAAACAAAAAAACTCTTTAGAGTTAAACTACATTTCCCAAAATGTCTTCTATGGGAACTTTCCCAGGTTCCCAGAAATTAAGATTCTACAGTCAATTCAATATGGGAAAGCCATATACTATATTCAAATTAGAAATTCACATACAATATTGAAATCTAAGAAGTACTTATATTAAAAAACAAAAACAAACCAATCTGTTTAATTTCATTTAACTCAACATTTCCAAAATTCATTTAGAGAATTTATAATGAATATTAACAGTGCAGAATACACCTTAAGAAACAAGGGATTAATTTCCAATGACAAAAATAAAATAAATTTCATGTACATGGGAATACTCCTTTAGATGAGACTGTTAAGTGTTAAAGATGAAAAGGTCTTTGGTTACTAGGAAAGAATAGTTTTATATTGCAAAGATACAGACAATGGCAATGTATTTATACACCATCATCACCAAGCAAAGCATCTGACCTAGAGTAGGTACTCAGTAAATACTTGTTAAATGATCAAAGGATTTTCATAGATATATAATTTAGTAGAATACTAGGTCACTGAGTAGTTCCAGGGCTAGTATACTACTCTCTTAGCTTCTTGCCTTCTTACCCTTTCTCTTCCTCACTTCATCAAAGTGAAAATAGCCCTGCCTGAGATTACTGCTGTACTACCAACAACAAAAGCAAAATCTCTGCAGTACAGCCATACAATTTTAATCAATTAATTATAATTGTACACAGGTTAGCGAATAACACAATGGGAGATTTTAAGTTAAAGAAAATTTCTTAGGGAAAAAAAATATATACCAGCATATATGCTGAAACTAACTTAAACGTGAAGGTAACGGTGATCCTCTAAGTATTTCTAAAGAATTTTTTTAATTGATGAGTGCTTTTGGTATGAAAGTTAATTATAAATATACATACAGAAATGTAAAGTTTTTCACATATAAACTTCCCATCTTCCATATGAGAAAGTATCCATTTTTCCTTGAATAGGTTTTTCCATCCTTCACCTACTTAATCCAATGCCCTGTTTTACTTAACAATAGGAATGCCACAGGCAGAGTGAAGGAACACAGCCTACCACCTCAACAAAATTCACCTGTCTTCCTCCCAACAGGAGCACAAGGGAAGCCAGGAATTTGGATGGTGAACCATGACCAAGGAGTTGTATCATCAAGGAGAAAGTTTTTATGGAGGTTTCCATAAACCAACACATTACGTACACTGATGCCCATTATCCATTTGCTGATTTAAAACTTAAAGTCTTTGAAAAACAACTATTGAGTAGAGTATAAATTCTAAATAATCATAAAGAAAACACAGTTTGGGGGCAAGTCAGTGGCATCGGCGCTTAAGACCTGAAAGGAGACCCTGACTACGAAGTGCGAAGTGCGCATCCTGGGGGCAGCCTCCTCTCCAGGGCGTCCCTGCCGCTTCTGGGTAACTTCCCAGAGCTATGGTCCAGGGCTCAACACGAGTCTTCAGCGACAAACGACACCCGGGAGCCTTCACATGAGTCAGAGCTGGGCTCTGGGCCGACAGCAGTCACCCACACAGGGGGAGGAAACGGAAGTAGCGCGGCCCACCCGCCGGTCCGCCCCGCCCTCAGCGGCCCCAGGACCCCGGGACCCCAGGCCAGGTCCCTCCCCAACCACCCGGAAGGCCGTTGGCGTCTGGAGACTAACTTCCGCCTCGAGTTCTCTCTGCACCGGCAAAAAGAGAAACTCAACTCTTTGCCGCACAACTCCTCCAACCCCACTTTTAGCAGACGCGAGTTGAAGGCGGCGCCAGGTTCTTACTCCGAGTTAGGAACAAGTGAGGAACCAACGACCCCGCCCCGGAGGCCCCGGCGTCTCGCTCCGACGGCAGCCCTCCCGGGCCCGCGGCGCGGCGCGGCAGGCAGGGAGCAGCCCGGGGCGTGCCGGGGTCCCGCCCGGATCCCTAGAACCCCAGAGCCGGAGAAGACTGACCCGGCCTCAGCTCTCCCGCCGTCCCGCCGCACGCGCCGCCTCCCGCCGGCCTCGCTGGGCCGGGCGGGGCCCGCGGGCCTCCAATCCCGCGGGGAGGCGGGCCCTGCGCCCGAGCCGGCCCTCCTCGGAAGGCGCCAACCTACCCTCTCTGCAGCCGGGCTGCGCAGGGCGAGTCCGGCGCTGCCTCGCGCCAGGTGCAGGGGCCGAGCCCGGGGCCCGCGGCGCCTCGGACAGGCCACTGCCAGCGGTGCCCTTCCAGCGGCCTGTCCACGCCTGGAGACGCCCAGGGGAAGAGAGAGGGTGGCAGGGCTACATCGGGAATGGGAGCTTATTGTTGCCATCCAGCCTCTCCCCCTGAGTCTGGAGGGTGAGCCACCAGATCAGTCTGGTGTGAAATAACCACGACGTGCATATGTATAGGAACAATTTTAGGTCTCCAGAACCGTGACCTGAGTACCAAGAGCTTCCAAGACAATCGCCAGGTCCTTACTGAACTCTCACCAAGCAACTCATCTTACTAACCAAGCCACATGGAACGTGAATGTGGAGCAAGAGCGACGTAATACTGGAGTATAACGCAGCGTTGAAGCCCTCAAAGGCATATTGGCTCAGGACCTAGCTCCGCTATTTACTAGTTGGATAATCTTGACTAAATGGAATTACTAAATCTAAGTATTTTCGTCTGTGAAATGGAATTAACTGCAGTTTATAGGCTATACGTTTCTTTTGACAAGTGAGAGTACTATATTAAGTAGTTTTCTAACACATAAGGACTCATAGTGAGCTTACAATATTTTATAGACAAAAATGCTTAGAAAACAGCTATTAAACAATACATCAACATTTTACAGAGAAGTCAGTAATTGCTTGGGATGCAAATACTGAAAGGAAAATTGAAGACCTTTAATGACCTTGATGGGATAAGGAATTGGAACTTCCTACATCTGTCAAACTCTCACCAAAATGAAAGGTGGCATGACAAGACATTTCTTTAAAAAAACGATGTAGTGGATATAAAAGCATTTTTAAAGAAACGTAGTCTTTAGAATAAGACTTTAAAGTAGTCATTCAATAATCCAACAATGTCCATTCTTATTTCCATAAGATATATATTTAACAGATAAAATTTATTACCTATCCTAATAACCATATGCATAGCCTTTCCCCCCTTCCAAATGTTTTCAGATTTCCACCACTTCTCCAGGTCCCTTTCTTTGGGAAGATACAGCTCCAGCACCAGCCACAGTGTGTAACTCATACTTGGTTCCTCTCCTTCACGTGCACATGTGCAGTATGTTATTAAACCCTGTTAGCTCAACCTTCAAAATATATCCACAACCTACCACTTACCACCGCTACTGGATTCATCCTGGCCCAAACCATATTTTCTTGTCTAGATAATTGTACCCTCCTAAATGCTATACTTGTTTTCCATCCTTTTTACCCCTTTAGTCTACTCACAACAAACAGCCAAGTGGTCCTCTTAAAAGCTTAATTTCTGAGCTGACAACACCTCAATGCCATTCTAATTTACTCAGTATATGCCAGTCTTTACTATGACTTAAACCAGCATTTCTCAACCCGCACACCATTGACATTCAGAACAGATAATTTCTTGTGGGAGTAGGAGGAAGGTGGAGACATAGGTCATCCTGCATGTTGTAGGATATATAGCAGCAACACTGGCCTCCCCAGCACTCCCTTTCCCCCAAGTTATGTGGACAACCAAAATGTCCCCAGACATCACCAAATATGGCCAAGATTCCCCATTGCATTTTTCCTTCTGCCTAAACCACTCTTCAATCTAGTATCTATATGGCCTACTCCATCATTTGCTTGAGGTCTTTATTCAAAAGTCAACTGTGACACCTTTCCTAACCACCCTATCTAAAATTTCGACCCAGCCACAATACTTCATAGCTTCTTTTCCATTATTTCCCATTAATATACAGCAATGTACTATATAGTTTGAATATTTATTTTGACAATAGACAAATAGTCTTCCTCACTAAATTGTATGTTTCATGAAGTCAGGCAATAGTTTTGCCTGTTTTAGTCACTACTGTATCCCCAACCCCTAGAAAGAATATAGAAAACATGCCATTTCCTTGTTGAATGAATAAATAAATCATGGTAGCCCCATTCCCATGTCTAGTGATTAGTTTAGACAGAAAACAGTAAACCTTTGTCAAGTCTAGGTGCAAAAATTTTCCTCAACACCTTCTAGCAAAAGAGAGCCTATTCAGGATATACTTCTGGATGTGGTGCCTAGAATGGCTACAGTCATCTTGTGATACATGGGTGGGGAAAAGTACAAACCTAATACACCAGGAGAGGCAGGACACTCAACAGATGATGTTAGAACACTTAGATACCCATATATGCAAAAAGGAAAGAAAGGAAGGAAGAAAAACATTCATCCCTTAACTCACATCCCACATAAAAATTAACGTGAAATTAATTCGTAGACCAAAATCTAAATGTAAGAGCTAAAACGATAAAATTTTTGAAAGAAACCCTAAAAGAAAGTCTTTGTGATGTTTTAATTTGTGTACTTAGAAAGTCTAAAAATAATAATAATAAAAGCTGGAAACCTAAAAGAAGAAATTGATAATTAACTTCATTAAAATTTAAAATGTTTGCTCTTCAAAAAACACTGTTAAGATACCAAGTGTTATCAAGGATGTGGAGCAACTGGAAACTCTTTTATATTGTTGGTGATGGTACAGCCACTCTGGAAAACAGTTTGGCAGTTTCTTATTATATTAAACATATTAATTAATATATAAGCCAGCATTCATGTTCCTAAGTATTTACTAAAGAGAAATGTAAACCTACATCTACACAAAATCTTGTATGTGAATGTTTAAAGCATCTTCATACATAATAGCCAAAACCTGGAAACAAATTTTCAGCAATTGATGAATGGATAGACAAGTTCGTATACATCACTTATGTAATGGAATATTACTCAGCAATAAAAAGGAGCA